CATCCCCAGAATAGAGGGAGAGAACTCTGAATTTAATTTGACGACCGGTGTAAAAGTTTGGGAATCACTTCCGAAGAATCTAGGAAATAGTCGACAATGTTGCAGTTATGCGAACAATGTTAGTGTATTACTGGGATCGACCACAATAGTATAGTTTTATTGTTTAGAACAACTAGTGCCAGTTGGTTCCCCGTGGGCTTTCAGCATTCAATTAATCACTTTAGTCTCAACAGGAAAATAGCCGATAACCATGAATAAATAAATACCCCACAATATTTCTGTTTTCATGAATAACCATCGTTATCACTGAGGACCCTATTTCAGGGAATTAATGCCTCAGCTTGTATCAATTGGATTAAACGCTACATTGATAAACACAAATGGAAATAGGCATTGGACCAGATGCACAGATTTTAATCCATTCAAATTGATAAATTAATTGGACCGAGTCACGTAACACGAGGAGTCTCTTGGTCTTGTACAGAAGTTTAATCGAAAATTATTATTCCCAAGATTTTGCGGGGCAAGTTGGATCATTAGGTACATCTGGACCCCACGGGGGTTGACATATAATTGTTATTAAAGGAGTGAGTGACGTTTCAGAGTTCATCTGCCCTCAGTTCTTGGTACATCTCGAGGATAATTAAGATAGTATTGGGTCACGCTAGGTAACTTTCACAGTGATGTCTCCCCCTGGAGTGTTCAAAAGGTCCCCCAGGTGATGAAAATGTTTCTGGGTTTCGTGTCAGAGGGGCTTCACCTTCTTTATTATTTAGACGACCACTTTATCGGTAATGGAGAATTAAACGAGACTATTACGTTCCCCTATTTTGGCACAATCCAACACCACATTATTTTTATTCTACACCTATTTCCAACGAATTAATCATTGTAATGAATAAATAAATAAAGGAATTACGGTAGTTCATCTTACAATTCGGGAGAATCAGATGAACAAATATGTGTATTGCCGTTTTCTCATTTGCCCTGGTATTCCCCGGGCAAAATGATTTCACAGCGCGACATTCATTTTGTCTGATGTAATCCCTGAACCGAGAGATAGATTCTCCGTTTTCTCATCCACCATAACCCGAGTATTGAAAGGATAGTCCTGAAGGCCACATCTCTTTTTACACTAAAACGAGCAAATAGCCGAGGAAAAGAGGCGAATGGATAAAAGTTCCTAATTCAATATAGGATGAGCAAGTTTGATGAGTTAAAGGGCTAGCAATTTTTACTGTCATGTTTTCCGAGCGATAGATAGATGGATTCAACCGTCTAGAAAATAAAAAACCTCCAGTACTCAATAAATATTTTACGAGAGTAAATTCACTTCAATTATCGAATTTACCCCGAGCCATCTGTATCATTTACTCTGATCGTCTATCAAATGAGGACAATTCATGAACGAGTAGAGGACAAATATCAACCCTGAATATACAACAAGCCCTTGTAATAAATTTGATAAATTATCATTGATAAATCTTCTCATTGAATTTACATAAGTAGGTGGAAAACTAAAAAATATTTTCACCGTTTCCGGCGATTTTCAGCAGCTGACGATCACGGCTGATTGGATTCGGACAAAACGGTGGACATATACATTTTCACGTTTTCCCTTGTTTCACATCCACAATTCACCCTAAACAATGAATGTCCCAGTGACTTTTCGCGATAGAGTTGCACATATTCCCAAACGTTTAAAACTACAATACAAATAAATTCTGCGATTCCATCTCCACCCCTGCCATCAGTGGACAGTGAAAAAATATTTTTCCCAGATAAACTTGGTGTTTTTAAATGCCCTATTTGATAATGGAATATTTATACGCAGGCTAGTGCCTCTTTGATTTATTCACAGAGAGGTAATGCGATTATAATTCACTTGATTCAACATCTGGTGAATTGTAGTATTTTGCTTTTAAATACTGAATTCATCGGATAAATCGAAGGGTATTATGATAACCGGAAGGGATTTTGATGGATTTGTTGGGGGAATATTTGGCTGGCAGGAAAATGCCTGTTGATTTTCATTTCCAGTGCATACGCAATGATAAGATGAAGAAATTTTTTATGTATTCTTTTGCTCGGGGGTTGAATAAATACGTGAGGATGATTTACATGGAGGGGAATCGGTAGATTATCTGGAGAAGAGGTGAAATATGTTTTCAAAACGATTGACGGCGATAAATCGGGAGTAGAGTCGATTTTTCAACCCCCGGGAGAAGAGAAATATCTTTGAGAAAATGTGGCACACGGAGTGATTGATATCGAAGGTTTTCGCGAACCTTGAATTATTCATATTTTTTACCAAATAGCGCGATTCAAGCAGACGATTTAAATAAATAAGGATTTCAATTTTATTGTGCAATGAAAAAAATATCTGTTTGCGGTGGGTATTTTCCGATTCGTTCGGTTTCAAAAACACAGGTGTGCGAAAACATTTTTTTCCCATGCCTCCAGGAGATTTTTTTCTCACGCATTAAAATCTTTAAAGTCAGGAGTATGGTGGAGGTTCATAAAATATGGAAAATGAGGATGGAGGATGAATGAGGTGAGAGCTTATCTGAGGGTTCGATAAAGGAACATAAGGGATTGGCTGGCATTGGACCAATTAGCATTGAAATATTCCCGGCAAAAAGAGAATTATCTACCCCCAACGATTATTTCCTCTTTGTACTGTCTAATTTTCATTCACTCTAACGACTGCCATTTGCATTCGAATGCATCTTTTCAACCTCGTTCACAACGTACATTATAGCAGAATAATAAAGAGAATAACAGTAGCTAGGGAACAGCAGAATAAAGTAAATGGAGAGAAAAAACAGATGATATTATTTTTGATACGAACCACTGGCCGATTATTTTGCATTTTCTACGATTTCGTGCCCTCGGTGTGAGTTGGCTCATCCAGATTCGCAGCTGCGTCCAATGATGAGGAAAAGAAAATTTCAGAAAACTCTTCATGTATTTGATTATGCGGAAATTAAAATGATTTACACCAGAGAAACGTCGTCTATTTTACAATGAAACCTCCACGTACGATTTAAACAGAGAAAATGTGCAATCACATTATATTTGCAAAGAGATATTCGCACAGCATGAGAATATAAAGTGAAAAAGCCATAATTTCATGAATGAATTTGAATTTAGAAATATCGGGTTTTATTTACAGGATTTATTTCGATTCAGCGAAGAGGTGAAAGAGTTCTATACTTTGTGGATATAAATTCTTTATCAAAATTCTAATGTTTATCACCGAGAATTTATAGATGTTTCTGGGAAAATTTATATAAATTTATAGTCAAATTTGGAGAGATTTACGGGGAAGTGTTATATCAATGCCAGAACAACTTGGGTTTATCTACTAAAATTTTAGTACTAGCACTGGAATCTGTCTCTGGTTGATACTTTGGGGCCCTTGCTGATACTACAAATTTTCTGAAGAACATCCACGTATATTACCCTCACGTAAATATATATACACACACAGAGAAAAATTGGGCTATCAAAAAATCTTATTCGACACAGAGACAAATATATTCCAAAAATTACCCCAATAGATAGCAATCGCGTAATCCAACGACATTTTTACCTCTTCGCTTTGAAATTTACCCTGAATATTCAATAAAAGAGAAATATATCCAATGCAAGAAAAATAATTTCAGTGAATAGTATCTGGAAAACGATCATAACAATAGAGATTAAAATATGATGAAAAAAAAATACAAGTGAGTATCGAAATATTCCAACAGCAAAGACTAAGAATAAAACGACTGAGATATTACCCAGTAAAGGTCGAAAGTTGTTCTAGTAAGTGCTCTTAAATACTTTACGATTCAAAAAACAGGAGATAAAAGAAAATAGTTGGAAGCAAGAGAGTGGGAAGGAAAAGCATCAAAGGATCGCATGGTCGAAGCTGGATGGACTGCACAGCTGACCCAGTGAGGAAAGATGCCCCCAGGAAAAGGAGAACTTCTGCATTTCCTCAACTCCAAGTCTGATAGAATCCACCCCGAGGACAATCCTCAACTGACAAAGCTCATATTCCGATACCAACGTCCTTTGATTCCCGATAGCAGTGCACCTTGACTGGGCATTGGAATTTGGCTAAAAGTCATCCCCTGAATATACCCTCTCCTCCAAAGAATCAGTTTCAGAAGCCATACGTCTCCATTCCGAATCGATGCCATCATTGAAAGGGGTGAATTGTATATTTATCCGTGGCCCCAGTTTTGCCTGATAAAATTTTTCGTTCGATCAATACTGTCAAGCTGATTGAACTCCCATCAATGGTACATCGATGATTGACACGATTATGACCCAAGTCATCAATCAATTCCAACAAAGTGAGCAATCCTCCCTCCAATTTCCCAATAGACAAGCCCTTCACTTCCAAATACCAATAATACCATCAACAACAATCAAAAACAACATCCAACCTACCAGGTTCAAGCCGAGAGTAAACAATAAAACACAAACATAAAACAAACTGTCAGGGAGAAAATATTCATTCGAGAGAAGAAGAATAATGAAATCCCTGGAATCGTGTGGGTGGAATGAATTTTAACGAGGGCCGAGGGTTCTCCCCGGATATTTGATTGGCGATAAACTGAGATGAGGCTGAAACGAGGACTTCCGTCAGGTTCACCGGGTCCAACAAGAACACATGTACCGAGAGCTAGATGTATATTTACCCTATCCTACGGTTTTTTTTAGACAGTTGATAACCCAAGTCAAATGTCAATAGCAGATTTCTGGGTTACTGAGTTGTGTGAGTCAATACTCGGAGGTACATGCAGCCATGTATAGAATCAGGATTGATGTGATGGGCAAAATTAATTAAAATTTTTTAAGGGAAGACTAAATATGAGGATAAGCTGACAGATATAAACAAAAAAAATCAATAATAACGAATAGAATAACAGATTAACGAGTAGAATGTGAATAGATAGAGGGGAGAACTAAATAAAGAAAAATAAATTTATAATGAACTTTACCTTGAGGCCAGATAGGACGGCCGCGGGATCTGAGGTGGTTCGGGCTGTGGATGCCTGGGTGGTGGCACCGTAGCTCAGCTGATGCTGATAATTACAGAGGATCTTCTTGTGGGCACTGGCCTGGGCTCTATAAGCCGACACTGATAACTTCATTTCTCCCTTTTACGATCAAAGGGTCCTGACGCCCATTTCAACACACCAATCACCATCATCATCAACCCACACCCCTCTCTCACGAACTTTACCCCAAAAACTCGACGAATTTCGTCAATTTGTCACTGGTAATCCACTTATCGAAAGGCACTTCAACTTGTCCTCGCTAATGTACCGTAATTTACCATTCAAATATGATTCAAGGCCATGGATGGCACCCCGGCCAATACTTGCTCCCAGCTTCACCATCGATGACGCTGAATCATCATGGCACGAAGCAATCCTTCAACCATGTATTTCATTAAATCCACAGTATTTTATGAGGACACCTATCAGCTTGGGGAGAATTTGATGGATGATAGGGACACGGATGGTACGTGACGTGGAATAATACTTCTACAGCCACTCGGCCTACTATCCTCGCTTCTTCAACTTCTCCACCTGTCCTTCCATATGCTGGAGCATCGTGACACCACCCTGACACGACTAGGTGTCATGAAAACTAACTTTTGTCCACTCACTTATTATCATAATCCACTCCCTTGGCACACGATTTATTACATCACTTGCACTTGTCACTGCCACTTTTCATTAGTGCACATTTTCCCCATGGGAACCTTCAAAATAACCACATATTAATAGACTTGTATAAAAAATTAATACGACTGCTGCAATGGCGAATGATGGTAGTGATTGACTGGGAAATATAGACTGAGGATGGTGGTGATGGGGAAGCCGCGACCAGACACCTGTGTCTGAGTCTCAGCAGTTGACGTTTAACTGGATTAACTGACCACAGGCCAAGCTACATATTGAAACATCGATGCGTGCACTGAGGGCAACCTGAGCAATTTATGTGTCTGTATGTCACGGGGTCTAAGTGGATTAAATATTATCATAACTCGGTTAAGAATCATCACTGCCTCCCGGGAGAAGATTCTTCAGGTGAGCAGGGGAGAAAGAGGAGACCGGGGAATTTCCAGGAGAATAACTGTACGAATTATGATTGAACTGAGACTGTATGATGAATCGTGTGGCAACGTACAATTCATGTCTCGTAGGATGTTGGGCTGGTCCAGAGAATGGGGATTGGGACCCGGCTTGATTTGATACCCAGTTAGATTTATCGGGCGAAATTCGATGAGAGATTTACGGAAAGCTCTGGGGTGGAATCTCACTTTTCCGGTGGTTATTTCGGAGGGCTCCATCCACCCCAATGATATCTAGAGTTAAATTTTCGTTTCATATCCTATCTTGATAGGGTGGATCCTTTTGGAATTCGTTTTTGCTTGATTCGAATCAAAAATAAGGTGGTGAGGCACTTCGATGTGTTTGAGTTGGAGAATTATTTCAAAAGTAGATCGAAGGGAAGATTCTCTTGGGGAAGTAGTGATGATCAATTCGATTGGACTCCTGGGGGTCGCAAAATTCTCGGTCAGGGGGAGGGAGTGTTAAGGATGAGACTGGAGGGTTGGGTAAGCCCCAGGGTATGTCTCTGACAATGTCTCTTCGACAAAGTTTCTGTTCCTCAAGTCACGTTTGTGGTCAACAAGAATTTTCACCATTCCCCACTGTTGAGTAGCAAACTTTTAACTGTAGCCTGGGCATTCTGTACTCCATTATCATCAAAGACCTTTCACTCAATTTTATTCACTGGAATTTTGCAACTGTCGCGGGTGGTTACAGAAATTGCGTGGGAATACCTCTGCAGAGGGTTCACTGAATAAAATATGGGGAATTATGCGAAAAGCGCCCACTAGGTCGATATGGAGTAATAATAGTTATCAGATTCCACACAGTTTGCGCCAAAAATGACTTACGTAGTGTGAAAACGGTCACTAAACAGTACAAAGAAAAATCCTTCAACGAGTCATGTGAACCGCACAGACGAAAAAATAAATCTATTGAGTTCAAGAATCTAGAATCTAGTCGTGAAAATAAAATATGAAAAAAGCCGTTCGTTTCGACCGGATGTCAACAGATGATGTCACTAGTTTTTATTTTCGATCGGACTCCAATTTTCACGCGTCACTCAAGAACCAGTGGTACGCTAATGGAAGAACAATGGCAATTTCGATTGGTCTCGTGTGTTTTTATTGAAATTGGAATTTCTCGGTTATTCGGAGTTTCAGTGATGCGAGGATTGATGCATGGAAACATTTCTGGTATTGACAGATGGCTGAGCTTTTCAATTCATTTGACACTCGGAGGAGAGGAACACGAGGTGACGAGATTTAAATTATGATAATATTCCAGCAATAGAGAAATTATTTATTTATTTTTTGAGAGGCCAGATGATGATAGAGGGACACAGATTTGCTGGATGCAAATTCAGATGAATATTGGCAAATAGTTAAGTAATTTTGGTCGAAGGGAAAAATGGAGAAAAAGAGAAAAAAAAGGGGGAAAAAATGGAATGACAGTGAGAACGGTTAGGGGATGATAAAATACAATTGGCATGATACTAACTGTCGGAAGCACTTGATATTTCTTTAGAACAGATTCACACTTGACTGCCAGGTATGAATAGATATTTGAAAATTAAATTGTTGAGGACGCACGTGTCACGGAGCGAATCGAGTCACTAATAAACAATCAACCGGCACTCGCGTCGCGCTGGCGCTGGGGGTTGAAGATAGTTTTGCGCACAGCAGCCCTCGATAACGTTTCCCTTCACCCTCTGTCCACATGTCTCCCACCACACCCAAGGATTAGAAAACCCAAACGCTACGATCGCGTTTCCCCACCAACAAAGACTTGCGCAGACACAGCCCGATGGACCGCGAATGAAAAAATATATGTAAGAGGAGGACGTCATTGAGATATTCCTCAAACCTGACACCAGCGGGGGGTGGCAAAATTTCTCATTTTTTTACCCTTCAATTTTACCTGAGATCACCTGAAAATCGAAGGCTGCTCTATCCTCTCGGTAAAACAATAGAATATTGTTGTGTAAATATTGTTCCATCTTCAGGGGCGATTGTCTCTTGCTACGTCTCGTCGAGAATTTGACATTATTATTCTTTTGTGATGATAATGATGATTATTTAAAGATCCTGTCGAACGAATTTCATTTAACTATTTTAATTGATCTATTATGGAGTGTAAATAATTTGTAGTTGCGTAAAGAGTGTAGAGTAATCTCACAAAGGTGTTTCAGAATTTCCTCATGAGAATTGAAATTCGAGTGAATCGAATTAGCGAAATTAATTCCCTTTTGTCTTCATACAAATCTCCAATGATATCCTTCTCTCGCTTTGTTCCCAGAGTCTGTTTGGATGTGACTGAGGGTTGAGACAATAGTTCTCGATGGAAACAATGCGGTCCAATAATATCTATCTCAACTGGATTTCATAGACAGATATCAACATTCTCTATGTACATTTGTACCTGAATCCTGATAGGCAGAGATCTCCAAATATCTCACAATTTAATCAGAATTAGGTTTACATTCACACCCAGTAATAAAAAAAAGACTCTGGTCTTATTTCAGTAAAAGTTGGAGTTTGGAAAAATTGATCACATTTGTAGGTGGCGAATAAGTTTGCCCTCTCCTTCAGTGTCTCATTTCTCATTGAAAGAACAAACTTGATATTTGTCAGTGTTCCTGGAATTTTATCCCTATACTTTTTCAGACAGAGAGAGACTCTGAAAAATGATAAAAAGAGAAATTCAACTTTCTCCATTGCACTCGTTTCGATGTTCCTCATTCACCAAACACGAGTCTTGCATTGGATTTATTTCATTGTCCTTTTGTCTGGGAAGTTGTATCCATTCTTCTTTGAGCATTCGTGTTATTGCGTTATGTCATCCACCACTGAAGCTTTCTCCCTGGGAATAAGATTCACCTTCGCAAACGGTCGAAAAATATTTTTCGTCGCAGCTCGTGAATTTTTGGTAAATAAACAGTAAAGAATCCCATCACGTCGTATTTGTCGTACGAATTCTAGTGAATTTTCTCGGTGTTACACAACGAATAGTAATGGAAGGAAGACGTTGTATAACATTGAGAAAAATACGATCGATTGCTCCCTCGACGGCACCCCATCATCTTGAATTTGCGGATTGAATTCAGCATTTTCAACGACTGAACATCTCATCCTGGCCCCAGGCCCTGGGATATTCCCATTACGAGAATAGGAGTTCCACTTCTATTCATCCAATTTCGTTCAAATATCCACACTATTCCAGAAAAGACATCATTATTCCTATCTACTTTTACATCTAGTATTTTGGATTCAGATCAGTTACATGAGAAAATTTGAAGAGCTGTGAAAACCCAGAGAGACTGACTTTGTCTCACGTTCAGAATATCAGCATTGATCTTTTTAGCACTGGATACTGTAGCTGTGGGGCTTACACTCCGTTGGTATTGACCTGACGTCACTTTACCGATTGTTACTTCTATGTTCCTTTAGTAAAAAAAAGCATGGACTGGAAAGTGTTATGGTGGAGAGCATGTAGAAAGTGTCATCAGAGATTATAGGGGAGATCAGCAAGGGAATCGAGGAGATTGGGAAGATAAAGTCGGAAGTCTTCACCGGCGGAAAATAAGTGGGGAAAATTGAAGCGCCCGGTGATCTATAAGTGATTCACTCGGCTTTGAAAATTCATCTCTTCTTTCCTAATGAATATTAAGGGATGACACACGCTGTATTCCATTAGAAATTTCACCCTTCATCCGAGTTATCTCGAAAATTTTCACCGTGGTAAATTTCCATCTTTAGGTACTGAAGAAAAATCATATTTCGTCTCTGAAAAAATTCAACGTTGGTTGGTTTGTTGGTTGATCTGGTTAGTTGGTTGGTTGATCTGAATTAAATCGACTCAAATCGACTATGTACCAAGTTTAATAGTTACCGAAGAAAATGTTCCGTTCGAGTGTGAAAATACTTGAGTAGCCAAACGCGATGCTTTGCCGCAATTTTCTTGCGCAAACTTTCCTACCACCGTTTTCTGAATAAACTAATAAAAATGAATAAAAACTATAATCTCAAATTTTATATTGAGTAAAAAAATGAAATCCGTTTATCATCGGTTTTTCTACATAATATAGTATATGAATCACATCGGTGTATGTTGTGATTCATTTTGAGCGCTACAGCGCTAATTATCCATGAACGCGTTATGGACCTAGTGTAATTTAATTTCAAATGGATGCGCCGGTGAAGAGCGCGGACAATCGCATAAAAAAAAGAGGTCGACATGTGCGCGCGCATACAGAATGGCTTCCAGGCCGTATTGCTGTTGAGTTCTGACCTGGTGACGCTGTTCTCCAGAGGAAACCCAGTCCTTGAAAAAATCAGTACTCTCAATTAATTCAGTCGCACAGTGTACGATACCACGGATAAAAGAATTACTTCCAGAGGAAATTGTGAATTTAATTGTAAGAGACTTGTGCTCTCCTCATGTGCTGTCATCCCTGAAGCCACAGGGCTGATCTATCTGAATCACGACATTGGCCCACCCATTCCACCGAGACGAAGCTAAAAATGCCAATGGTAAGTGCAAAATAATTTTTTTTAATTCTATCGTCATAATTGTTCGAATAGTACAGCTGCTGTAGATAATTGACGTTCGAATTGACATTATTGTCATTGGAAAGACTGCTGAGATTCTTTTGTCTCATATAACCCCAAAGTTTGTTGTCAAAATATTTTCTGGATAGGGTACCGGGGAAATGTTGATGTCATTGTTATTCTGATACGTTATTGATGACTTATCGATGATGGCGTTATGTTTGGATTTGATGAGCAGGGAAATCACGTGCCACTCCAGGATATGGGAGCTGGACGAGGTCAGGGTGGTGGAGGACCTCCACAGAATTGCATGAAGGTGTTCGTCCAGAGGGACTACACCGAGGGTACAATGGTGAAATTCCAAACGAGATTTCCACCCGAGCTGTCTGACAGAGTGAGTCTTAACCTCAATTCCTTTTAAAATTGATTTGCCCTGAACAGCACAGAGTCCGGAACGCATTTTCTGGCGTAAAAATCCTAAAAATTGTTTTTTCCTCTCCACGTGCTGCGACATCCTCCATGAAATCCTCGGAGTTTCCCCTCCTAGAGTCATTCTCAATCTCATCTGCGCTTTTTCATCCATTACAATTAGAAAAAAAAATTGAAATGATAAAATTTTAACAGTTGGACCCTGAGACATTCGAGTACACGATAAATCAGCTGAACAATTACTTCGCCGAGGCAGAGAGTGGCAGTTGCTCCACGTACTGCGAAGGATGTCTAGCGTGTCTGACGGGTTATTTAATTTACATATGTACCGAGACTCACTATGAAAAGTGTCTCCGTAAAGTAGCAAAGTTCATCTGCGAACAGAATGATCGAGTATACAGGCCACGTGGTTTACTTTTAACCGATCCCACAACACGTGGCCTCAGACTTATAGAGATATCAATACTCGACAGGCCTCCATCGTGACTGCATGTTAGCCAATCCGCGGAATTCTTCATGTGACTCCTGCGTCTCTGCAATTTCCACAGAAAAAAAAAATGTTTTAAAAAAACAAACACTAAAATCAACTCCTCGTAACGCGCAATATCGTCTTCATTACCTGGCAAGTGTGATTCGTCGCGCGATTACATGATTTATTGTCCAATGAAAGGAAGTGCCCCCTCTTGTCACGAATTTTTTATAAATATAAAACGGTCCCCAGGTTGCACTTCTTAGTCAGCCACGTGGGGTGCACATTGCTCTTTATTTTTGACGATTTTTACTTCATTAGATGGAAATAAGTAAGATTATTACTACGGTAGAGGGATTCGCAGTTGTAATACTAAATTAAATGAAGGAAAATGCATTTATGGAGGAAATCAAGTTCAAAACATTCGGAGATCTCAGTCTCTTTCAGTATCTTCCTTTATTCCCTCGTAAATCTTCCAGTTATCCCCTCAGGGAAAGATTCATTGTGCTATTATTATTTTGTTTTCTCTCACGCAGCTCACAGAAAAGCAAAACAAAGAGGGATAAATACAGCGCGATACGAGATTGATATGATTTGCTATTATTTCTAGACGAAATTCTTGGAAAATTTCCCCCGGTGAAGAAATCCACGGATTGGCTAAGGATTTAATCAAACAAAAATAATGATAAACCTCACACTCGTTAATTACTGCGCTTTTTAAACTTGTATCGTGTATAATATGTCGTAATGATTTTCAATTAATTTTCGACTTTGGAAAGTAAACTGGGTGTTCATTTTCACACCTGATATCGTACAGAAAAAAAAAACTAAAAAAACCCAAAATAATAGATGGTGGTGGAAAGATAATGTAAGCGACCTTAAGCTCAAAGAATAATTTCAGCCTCATTTTCGGATGACATCAGAAGAATAAACAATTCTTATCCAAAAGGTTGAAGAATCATTCGGAACTATCACTTGTTGGATATGATTGGTGTTCTTGTGGCTGAAATTTTTTTATTACTGAGCGTTCGGGAAGGAGAACAAGTTGCATTTGTTCGTCTTCTCCCCTATCCACTAAGGCCCCACTTACTCCGATTATCGTGCCGACTGCCCACGAGGAATCCACATAAATCTCATTTTCAAAAAAATAAAAGTACGAGTTTTGAATGATGAAACCTGTTTGAGTGTTTCAACATTACAATTAGCGGTCAATTCACGAACAATTACTGTTGACTGCGACGATCTTTCTGGTTGCGATTATAAGTCTGAAAAAAAAAACCTTTTTTGATTACTCTACTTCGACGCTCGTTCGAGCCGCCGTAAGCAAATGATTTTCTCTTTTCATTGCAAAACGCAGAAAGAACAAAAAACCAATGTGTAAATAGAAGAATATTATTCGATACGCATGATTATTGAGGAGGCAATGGTCTTGTTATACTTAATATGAAAATTGTAGGAAATAAGGAGATGGATTATTATATATGATTAAGAAAAACAATTATTTGACGATCGAATTAATGACTGGACACTGAGTCACTCGTACCACTGTAATTTCTAAATGTTTTAATAATAAAATAAAAATGAAGGGAAGTCGTACGCCATTCCTTTTTTCTCCACTTTATTCATACTTTTTATTTCTCTCACTCTCTCTCTCTTTCTCTTGTGGATTTCACTTGGAATTTTGGTACATCAAAATTTATTGTTATCTCATGCAGTTACGACAGTACTTCCTCCCCATTTAATTACTCACTTTAATTTCCTACTTATATCAAAAGACTAGAAACCATTTTTATTATCATACTTCTCGTCACGTAAATCTCGCTCTGTTAGAATAAACACAATGTCATCGATACAGGATTATCAGTTATTTCCCGCGATGCCAAAGGATGAATCGACAAACAGTCGAACATATTTCTCAATATTTTAGAAGATATTTTCAACTAAATTGACTACATCTTAGAGATCAACAATCTGCCTTTACTCATAATCAGTGAGCCGAAGTCGCGTGCCTCTTTCTGAGCATTAAAAAAAAATTGGACAGAGTCAGAGAAACACCGATGACACGCATCCAATCTCACATATATTATTAATAACTCAATGTTATCGTTAATCCTTATATTATTAATCTGTCACTCCAGAACTCGTGAGATCGTAATAATGTGTACACACTAAATACACTCTATTATACACCAAAGTCACATATTTCCCATTTCCATTTAGGATGAAGAATTTATCATCCCCTGGATCTCGATTCTTTCCAAAAATTTTGACACCCCATATCTATATATACAAAAAAAGATTGTCAAGACCCCACCGCTCTCCACTGATGAGAACAATCAATTCTGATTAGAACAGGCCTAACAAAGCCTACCTGAGGCATTAATTGGACTAGCCCAGTGCCTAAAACAGCATCTCTAATCAATTTCATCTCATCTGCCACTTGATAATTTTATCTAAACCCCAGGGGGAGAATGTACAATTATCCGTAACCAGTGGAAAAAGGTCACCCTCCAAAGTGTTCATTACGACAAATTGTTCTCGCAGTCACTCGGGAATGCTCTCCAGAGTGCTCGAAGTTGTGAGCCGTCAAATGAGCAGACACAGTTTATTTTTATTCTTTCTCTCTGGTAATAGTACCTTAGCCTTTCCCGTGTCCTCCGATCCACTCCTGGCATAGAGTGATCTGCTCAATCGATGTCTCACACCTTTTCCCAGTGATCGTCCACCCTTTCTCAATGAGGCAAATCTTCCCAGGGCTGTTTTTGGAAAATCAGACGCCTTGGCTGGTCCAGACGTATCCTTCTTCTCCTGTGCACAATTGAGTGTTGTCACAGTGAATTCAATGTCCTTCGGCTCCTGCCCGACAAATTCCTCAACTGGTTCCTCAATGGTGTCCCTGTCAATCCACGTCAGACCCATCTCAACCTTTTCAGCTAGATCTTGCCAATGCTTTCGATTCTCAGCTGTTCCCTCGTAGAGTGGCATTATCCAAGGAAATGTCTCGGACAGAACTTTGTACAGGGGTAGACAAATCACATCGATAAATCCAACTTGCATCTGGGGCAATTCGTCCCTTCGCTCGCGATCCATCATCGCTACTGGCTGCTGATTCAATTGAAGTTTCTCCAAATCTCCCTGATCGAAGAATTCATCGGCCACGAGTTTTGCCACTCGGTGCTGCACCTCCCACGGTTTAGCTATTGCGCTAACATCACAGGCGGTCATCATCATGCCGCAGAGAACTGCCGAGTGAATTATTGATTTCAGAATTGAGATATTCCTCGAGAGAGGTGGGGACAGGGGGTGGTGGAATGGAGCTGTTATAAGGTTTTTTTTTGCAAGACTTACGTTCTTTCTTCTCCTCGCTCTGCCAGTCAAACTCTCCATCATCGATTAACTCCATAAAGTTGTTCTTCTTCTTGAAGTAAACAGCAAGATCTGTGGATAGAATTGCACTCTCCACCACTTTCATCACTCGTCGATAGTCCTCCATGGAGAGTGTCTGGAAGATGTTATTGCTGTCGGAGTTGAGGATCATGACGCACTGGTCGAAGTGGTGGTGCTCCATTGTGCTCGTTGAGTAAAGAATTGCCAATGGGGATTCGGTTTTTGTTTGGAATGCATTGTTTGTGCCACGGTGGTCCAGATCGTGGCACAAACAAGCCACCAAGAGACCCAATATCTCCAGATCTGTCATGAATTGCTCCATCTTTCCAGTCTTCAGCATCGCGAACATGGTTTGGGCTACGTTCAGGGCATGCCTCCAGTTGTGGTACTTGACTGGTCTGAGGATAATTAAATTCAATGAAACGTTAAATCGTTTGTCTATGATAAAGTGGTTTGCGCATCTCACCGATAATTTTTCTTCACACTCAAAATCCATCGGCAGAGAACATCGTAGGGTATGTGAAATCTCTGGATGAGATTGCACGCTTTGAACATTCGGACAGTGGCACGACAAGTGTCTTCGTCAGTGAGATCAAAATCAATAAACGTAAAGCTGTACAAATTGTATTTCTCAGCGGATGGAATGGCATCAGTGGTGAGACGAAGTGCATCATCATTGTTGGCAGTAGCATGATAACTCAAGCATTCGAGTGCCACTTTTTGTTTAGCCATTAATTTGCAGGCTGACTCGTACATCTGAGTATTGTGAATTCCAAGGCCGCAGAATATAGCAAAAGCCTCGAATATCGAGACGTCCGAGTCAGTAAATGAACTTCCATTGTCCTGGGGTTGAAAGGAATGAATAATAAGTCCGATGAAACGTTATTGCCATTCTAGCGTTAAGCGGAGAAGCGCAGTAAATTGAATGACATTTAAAGCTCATATTTTCATTAAATCTCTCGGGAATGAGTGGCTTGGAGGCTATTGGCTGAGAGAAACTTCCAATGCAAACAAATTTTTTCACATTTCGCTGAGTGTTCAATTTCCCAGGAAATAGATTTGCTGGAATTGATTTTGCGTGGAGAATTATCTTCCTCGGGGAAAACATCCCATGAACCCACTCGCTTCCGAGAAACCTTCAAGATTATCTCGATGTCATTCTGGTATTTGTCCTCGAAGCAATGGATTTTTCCATTTCGAAATTTACGTCTTACGAGATTATGAAATCAATTGTCCTTAGGGATTAATTTTTCAATCAATTGTAGAAGAATACCTTGTTGATGAGTTGAGCAACTCCAATGACACTCCTCTGTCCATTAACAATGGGCATGCAGAGAATGCTCCTGATGGGATCTTTCCCTGTGTCCAGGACCTCTCGTTTGAGCCAAACCGTAACATCTCCAATGTTGAGAATTTGCCCCGTGCTAGCCACATACTTGGCGATTTTTCCCAGGGGACTGGAAAGATCACTGGTACTTGGACGGCTGACTTGAGCTTCCTGCGTACCATTTTCCATCTTGAAGACCATCGTGAACTTGGCACTTCCATCACTTGTAGTCTGTCAAGGAGACAATTCCAAGAAATAACGTTTTGACAAATGCCCTCACTCAGCATTTTTATTTCTGATACTCACGTGACGCAGGAATATATCCTCCATATCAATATTATTGCTCTAAAAATAAACGGGGAAAATAGAAAGACGAGAGTAAAAATTGAACCAAGGAAGTGATAAAGTCGGATAAATCCGCAAATTCCTCACTTCTCGTCTGGACAATGGCTTCCGGTCCTCTTGAATCGACTTGCCGGGTCTCTCCACTATTTTTTCAAGATGTCCAGCCTCCCCACAGTCCAAATCCAGCAGATACACAGCACATCTCTCGCACTTGAGCAACTCCTTGGCTTCAGTCATTATTTTCGTCACAAGACACTCGAGATTGTTCTGATCCTCGAATATACTTCTCGCTAGATTAAGTAGAATTTGATTTCTCCTGTACTCTTGGACAGACAGCTCAAACAACTGGGCATTCTGAATTCCAATTCCACAGAAAGTCAGGTACCTAGAGAATCCATGAAATTATATCGTCATAACTCAGGAATTTAGTTATCTGGCAAGAAAAATATATAATGGCTATAAACTCCTAGGACAAGATGCACGTTTTATATCAAAACCAGAAATTGCTCCTTGATAATTCCTTTCTACTGAAAAGTGGCTCATAAACTTTGCTAGAATATTCTCCGGAATTCATAGCCTCCACATGCTCGGAGGAATTTAATCTCCCAAGACTGTACGTCGGTGGTTGAAAGAACTTTTAAGGCCACTCATAACGCTATTTCATTTGATACCACAGAAATAAAATAACGGTCTTATCTTATTTTTCATAGAACATGGATATGAAATTCACAAAATACCTTTGAAATACTTCGACGTCCCTATCCATGAATTCGTTGCTACCATTTGTTTTATTAATAATTTGAGCAACCCCAATGACATCACCCTCGTAATTACAAATGGGCATTGAGAGAATGAGAGTGGTCTTGTATCCAGTTCTCAAGTCAATGGAACTATTGAATCTAGGATCCTCATACGCATCCTTGATATTGATAATCTCTTTTGTCTGAGCAACATAGCCGGCTATACCAATGCCAAATGGTATTCTAATTTCCTCACTCTTGGCCTTCTGGACCGCCTCCTCAAGCTCCGTATCTTGGGTGACATCGAAGAGTTTTGCAACGAGATAACGATCCTCTGGGGGACCTTTAGCAAGAAATAAACTTCCTCTGTCCGCATGCGTCAAAAGTCCAACGTTAACAAGAATTTTATGACACAAAACGTTAATATCTAGCTCATTGGCAACATCTCTTATGAGCTCCATGAAGAGTTCTCCCTCGTCCAGCTGATTCAACTCCTCTCGACGTCCTGAGAGAGACAGTGGTAACCTTGAAACGAATATTCATCAATCATTCAGACATCGAACGATGAAAAATCACTAGTTGAAAATAGTGGGGATGATAAAGTGGTGGATAAATCACCTGCTCGGGCTTCTGCTGCGTTTTGGAGAGCTGGAGGCTAGCCAGGATTGGAATAGATCCGAGGTGATGCTGTTACGCTTGGGGCGAACCATTGGTGTCTCATCAGGGGGTGGTCTCAGGCTGAGGGTTGCAGTTTTTCGTTGCGAATTCGTGTTCAAGAGCCTCATCTTCAACTCTGGGCTTGCCTTGTCTCTCAACCACGCTTCAACCACCGAGGGATTGCTCTCCAAGTACCTGAATCGTTCGTTTATTATTTTCCAGAGACTACAGATTGAGGAACACGTGATAATTGTATTCGACAATCTCAATCAGGAATTTAAAAAAGAAAATGCTTTAATTGAAAATTATTTGGAAATGAAATTGCTGTGAGAACTGTTATTACGGTTTAATTCAAGATTTATTATCATTCAATTTTCACAGTATTGATCAGGGCTAGGCGCAGAGTGGAAGACGAGATGATGGATTTTTTTTCCTCTGGGGTCTCTTTGTCCGGAATATTCTTTATATTTTTTTTTTTTGTGTTCCATTTCGTAAATTGGATTCCTCATAGAATCTCTTATTATCCCACTCTGTCTCGCCGGTAGAGGATTCTCTCAAATATTTTATTCAACGCTATCATCTTATATCACTCCCTTGAAAATTCAGTGGTCAACTCACTTGCCAACTCGTTCCATCGTCAGGCCAGTGTCTTCCTCAAATTCGTGGATAGTATCGGGACATGGTATTCTCTTATTCTTGGTCAGTTTCAACAGTTCACTACCCTCTTTAATGTCAGTCTTGATACTCCCACTTAAATTTATTTTTGATTCAATTTTTATTGGATCGGATGGGGTGTCCGATGTACCGGGACCTGGACAATCTACTGAATCGGATCGATCGCTCGATGACTGCACCAGTTTGCATTCTTTTTTCTTTGCCGCCTCTGGCGAACGGGGTATTGTTGAAATTTTCATTATTACTGCATTTGTACTTAAATTATTATTGTGATTTATCTAGAACAAGGGAAAGGTTGTATTAAAAAATAATAACGGTTCAGAGACTTCTAGAATTTTTATTTTAAATAATAAATAGAAGAAAATTTATATCCACCGAAAAATTCAAAAATCATTTATTTATTTATTTCCGACGTGGAATTCGTGTATTCAGATATCTCAAGTATTTTCAACTTCGAATAGAATCCTTTCTTCAACTACAGAATTCATTAAAGCTTGTGTGCAAACCAGTTGTTGAATATTCTGCGACTTTTAATTAATTCTCACCCATGTGACTTTGAATTAGATTCGCAATACAATTATTCATTCATCGTCTATTCGTGTGAAAATTCTGGAAAATTCGCTTTGTAGGCGTTGAATGAAGGTGGGCCTTTCGCGTTGGGAATTAAATATTCCATTGTACACATTCAATTCTGAATAAATTGAAAATTCCAAACAATAGGGGATGAAATTTTAATTATATTCTATTACTGTCATCATCGTATCACGTTGGAGCCTGCATCGCGATTTTATTCTGAATTTAAGTAAAATTTGAATTTCAAATTGAATTTTTCAGGAACAACAATCCATCAAAACTTTTATAAATTACTCGTGGGAAAGTCAAAGTTTTTTCTTGTTATCTGCGATGAAATTCTGCACCAAGAACTTTATTATTCTACCCTAAAATATTTTCAGAAACAGAAAAATCCCTCCGTTTTATTAATAATGGATGGAGCAATTCAACGAGATATTAACTCTACGCAAACGCGAATCATTAATTCTTGAATTAATGACTTCTCACGTTGTAGAAATACCGCAGACACAAAATTTTAATTATTTACCTCGTAATCCGTTTCTGCTGGCAGATCCTCTTCGCCCTCGGTTTCCATATCATCTGCCCATCGGATAATCTACTGATCTTATCAGAAAACGATCAAGACGTTCAACTCCTTGAGTACCTCGATTCTCAGCCTTATCAAACAATGTGAAGAAAAAAATGATAAACAATTCAAGTACAAAAAAGGGATGAAACAAATTAAAAATAAAACAACCCATTGTCTCCCGCTCTTTTTCCGTAATTAACCCCCCGAAGACGACAGCCTCTCGTCCTTACCCCGGAGGTGATAAAACCGTAAACTAGAGTGGAATAAAAAATGATCCAACAGATAAGAATGTGCAGTGATAACGTTTTTTTATTAACAAACATGAAGCTTTAAAGAAATATTTCTATTAATCCAAAGCAAGTAAAAAGTTCCCAACGAACAATCTCTAGCAATATTTCAAAACTATTCTTCAATCACCGAAGAAACTCCATAACAAATGATCGACGATCTCTCCAATACTCATCCTCTTATCAGCTGGATCCCAGCTTAAAAAAATAATCATCAAAACATCAAGCGTCTTCAACTCCAAAGACGAAGAATTACCCGCGACAAACTTTTCTGTAAAAAAAAACTCCGTCGAAATCCCCACAAATACTGAAAAGGGGATTCTCCCACTGAATGATTCCCCATTGAATTTACCCCCCACAATAACCAGGTAAATTCACCTGAAATAATTAAAATAAAATAAGTAGAATAAGATAATCCCGCCCTCACCACTGATTTGTGCGGAAAACCATCCGAAAGAATCCGCCAAGATGAAAGCTCCAGGAATGGTTTAAAAAAAAAATCCCTTGAAAATGATTCCCCGAAAAAAATACCGGTGATAGGATACACCTTCCCAGGGGACTAGTCCTTACCTCGCCAAAAAGAACAACAGTGCCGTTGTACCAGCAGCAACAGCAGCAACGATGTGACGTGAGAAAATGCGTTATCTTCATTGCCCCCAGTATCCACCACTGCCAAATGCTAACAGCACTCGACGCTACCTGTCCACCAGAGCATCAGTAATCATCATCATCAAGCCACCACAAAAACCCGATCGATTTCACCGGCGTAAACAGTTCTGCGTTACCTTAATATATCCCCCAGATTATCGAAACAACGTAAATGTCAAACTGACACCTGATATTTCATGATTTTTAATTAAAACCACCGTTAACTCTACCAACTATCAATCTCAATCGCTTCCGGTCTGATTAACGTGACCTTGGCACGTCGTCCGTCGGTGCTGATCACTCGGTCGATTGACGGTATCATTGCACCCTACTCACAATGCAGCATCACCAGTTACAGGCCAATTGTACACTGTGATTACAGATCAGTGTACTTATCCGCGGTGTTGACGCACTCGGTTCTCCAGCCACACGGAACCTCAGAGATCCTGGTTTGGTAGCATCGTCACCAGGTTGTCCTCAGGGATTTGGTGCACGCTGTTTTTCTGATCTGTTGATATCTCTTGATGGGTATCTCCCTCCGTGAACAGAAGGGATGTTTTTCATTTGGGGATTGACCGAGGGAAATAAATCAGTTACACCGAGAACTCCAGGGATCGTCTCCAGGGCGTTCACCGGGGGAAAGCTCAGAGCTTACTGAGAGGATGCCAGGCTACGATCCAGCGATGGGGGCTGCGATAGTGGCTCTGGTGTACTTGGAGCTTTTAAACGTCAGTGTGATAGTCAAGTACTTGGTGGTGGTGTGTCTGTGTGTGTGTGTTGGTGATGCTGATGTATATGGTAGGGAACTCAGTGGTCGGCGCACTGTGTTGTCTGGCTGCTCGTGGAGTCGGTCGAGATCGATACTGTCGACTATGGTCCCGGACCAGCCAGCATCTACCCCCAGAGGCTTTCTTTTTTCCTTTTTTTTTTTCGTTTTTCTTTTTTTCCTCATGTATTTGTGTGACGCGAGAAACTGTGGCATTTCTATGACGCCGTTACCAGGACGTCCACTGGTTTCGGCTTTTTAGGTTTTTGATTTTTTGGGGCGATCGGAATTTGATGGGCTCGTCGCACTGCCAGGGCCGTTCGGCATGGGAAAGGGCTGGGATTGGGGGAGTAATTGATTTTGACTGTTTTCGTGTTTAGGGATTTTTCCTGCAAGTCTCGGAGATTACCGAGCTCTTGACCTCATTCTCAAATTCTTTTTCATTTTTTCGGGATTTTTTATTTTAGGGGCCTTCGACGGCTTTTTTTCCTCGGGTTTTTCATTGTTTTTATTTTATCAGTGGTTTGCGATTTGTGGGTCAGAATTTCGGAATCGTTGGGCTCTTGGCATCGATTGAGTGGTTTTTTTTTTTCAGTTATTCCGCTTTGGAATTGACCTTGGATGAGTCTCTTTGAGCCCGAGGGAAGTGGGAAAATTTTATGAGGGGCTCTTTTTGTACCGTTAAACCTGGGCTTTCTGCTGATCTTCGTTTTAGATTTTGTCCTCCTCTCCGGGACTCTGGAATTTGATGAGTCGACAAGGCAATGACAGCTGTCAGCGGATATCTGATGGGTGTGAAAAAGGGTTCATGGGTTTTGAAGGGATTTACCGTTCGACGCGTGGGGATTTTTCATCAAAGATTCAGAGTCAACCGGACTTTTCACCTCAATCAGGTACAATCTATCGACCAATTCCCAAGTGAGAGGAGTATTCTCTTGATATCTTTGCATCGAGCGGAGATAAGCAACTCGAATAAAATAATACGCGTAAAAAAAAGTCTCTGGGATTTCTCCAACTCCTCGAGCTCGGGAGATCAGCAAAAAATTGATCGGAAGTCAAGTGGACTCATTCTTCTCCTCCACTTCACTGATAATCCAAAGTACTACATTACTTCCAACCGATGAATCTCAACATAGCAGAAGTCAACTAGAATAATAACAACGAAAAACAGCGATTCATCATTTTTCCACCTTGATAATGATAGAAATGATAGAAAACTCCATCAAAAACCGGTTAAATATTCAAGAGCTCGAAATGACTATCTAAATTTAGAAACTCAATAGCGAAAGTCTCGAAATGATGATAACTTGGTGGTCAATTAGCAATTCCAATTAGTTTGGTGTACCAAGTGGGGTTCTGTGGCCTGGTAAACTCTTGGGGTTGAGGGATCGTGTGCGCACCACTTAGCTAGTGTATGGACCTGGTGAGGGGTACCTCGAGGGACTCAAACCACCCAGTATTCCACCCCTATTCCACCACCAATCGTCAGGAGACAAGGGGAATCCCTCGAATTACCTGAATGCATACGTGGCTTACCCAAACGTTCCGTGTCCCAGAGACTTATCAGTGGAAACCAATTCGGCATTATACTCTCCACTTTGCACGAGCTCATTACTTTAATTGGAAATCCATGGAAAATAAATAAATCAACAGCTGATATCCAACCAATAAAAACAACAAAAGAACAAACAACAAAACAACAATAAACAGTTGTTTATTGATGGATCTCTGACAGAATTCACAAAATAAATACTGGAGTCTTTAATCAAGAGACAAGAATCGATTGATTGATTTTGCTGGTGACGTTGGAGATTCAGAGATCGTCGTCGGACTCCTGGAATATCTGGTACTTGGGTGCAGTTATTATCGTCGAGTTGTATCTCTTGTTGTCTTCGTTGTTACCTAGGGGTTGTTTATTTCTCACCATCGCCAAGTAGATCAGACAGGGACAATAGACGAGATTCAACAGACCGATTGTTCTCATCACACCGGAGAAGCCAATCGTTTGGACCAATTCACTCCCCACAATGGGACCTTGACAGTAATTAATTGGAAGGGAAGAATCATTAGTCACAGGGTTCTATCGTAATTACATCGCTCTTCGTATTTTCATTCAATCTTTGTGGATTCAGTGTATTCGGAGGTCTTACAACCTCCATTCTAGGAAATTCAATATTGTGGTCTAATTAACTACAGGGTAAATTAATCATTTAGAAGTTATACTGATTCTTATGGAAATATTGAATTAACACTTTTGTAACTGAATTGAGGTGTTTTAATATTCGAATATCTGAATTTTTCACAAGTTACTGATAATTTAGATTGGTTTGGTAATCTTTTCGTAATATCAATCCCGATGATTAATTAATTATTCGACTCAAATAGAGACACATTAGACTCTTTTTTAGGATTTTTTTAGACCATCGAAACTCCGCGGATCATTAAATAACGACAACACGAAAACATTATATTTTTAATAAGAATTATAGAATTGATTAGAATTGAAAATAATTTTGGCTGAACTCCTGCACGGACAGAAATATTTAATAATTTTTATTGAATATTTCTCTCCGTGCATCAAACATCCTTAAGGGTTTACCTAGAGAGTAAGCGAGGCTGACTGCAACCTGCTGTATCGAATAGACGGTCCCGTAGTTTCCATTCTGATCGACAAGACTAGCAAGTAATGGTACCAAGGCAGCATCAATCACCCCTATCCCAAGGCCGAGACCCAGATGAGGTACCACAAGCTGGGAAATTGATTTTGCTGATGGTAGGAGGATAGTGCTTACGCCTAAAAGACACATGGCGAACACCGCAGTTCTGCAGCGACCGCAGCGATAAGCTATCACGCCAAAGAAATTTGTTCCAACAAGATATCCCACGCTGTCCGGGATAAAAACAGTCCCCAGTTGCCATTTCTGAAAAAAAAAAGAAAAAGAACCTTCTTCAAGTATTCACGGGTGACCATAACAATTCGGCTTGCTCCCGGTCTTCCTTTTTTACATAACAAGAAATAATTTAATGAATTACTGATAAGATTAAATTGCCAACCTTCGGCTTGATGTAAGACCTTAACCAAATGGGCAGACATGGCTCCAAAGTGGCCATTGGTAAAGTGGATAAAAAAATAGCACCAGTGATTGTTAAAATTTTCCACTGAGTCAGAGTTTTCCTCCAGTTTGTTTTTCCCTCCGACTGCTCCATCATGATCCCCTTGGATACGGAGTCTCCAACGAGCATCTGCAAGCCTGGTGAATGGCATTAAATTTATTCCGGAATTAGAGAAATGCCGAAGCATGTGCATTACTCACATATCGGCAGGAATGTGAGGGTGGAGACAACCAGGAAAGGTGCCATTTTTCCTTCTATATCGTAGAGTATGGAACCTATTGGGTAACCAACGAGCACCCCGAGGGCTATACTCCCTAGGACAAAACCCATCACCTTCGATCGTTCACTTTCCTCTGTATATTGGGAAGCCACAAGGGACATACCCGAGACTCCAATACATGCTGATGATATTCCCTGAATGCTACGTGCGAGGAACAGAAACTCGTACGTCTGTCCGAATGCGTATACTACAGAAAAAATGTACATCATAAATGACAATAGGATAAACCACTTGGTCAAGAGATGAACATACGAAACTCATGAAATATTAATGACAAAACGCGAGAGATTCATTCCACAGACTCAACTCCCTGGAGATCTTATTGGATTCAATGAGATTTCATTGCATTCGAATTGATAAAAGTGTTATCATTTTTTATATTAACTTACGAAGAATTTGTAATAATATATACGAATAGTGTGGAACAAAAAGAAAACCGGATGAGTGGATAAAGTGAACGGTTCGGTGTTCAAACAAACAAGATTAAATACTGGTGATCCAACGAATGTGATCCGATAAGAGTTCAAACGTCAGAAACTTTGTAGAAGTCTTATTGAATCGAAGAACACTCCATTGCGTTTAATCTTAAAAGAGAAGATCCCGAACCGACAATTTAATTACCGAAGAAGTTCGACCGAAGACTTTTCTTTGACCTGGAGATAGACCAATCTCAACAGCAATTACCCAATACTTGAAGAACGATATATTCAGAATTGATGACTCTACACATCAATTATAAAAGTAGTATAAATATTAATATAGTCAGGATGATTTATTTATACGTACACAAGGAAGCGAGGAGGAGGCAGGAGTTTCCGATGAAGAGTGGCTTGGAGTATCCAACGCTACCGGTGAAAGAACCAACCGCCGGATTCAGTATTAATTGCACAAAGGCCTTTGAGCTGAGTAAAAAACCAATCTTGGCGTCCTGGTTGCTGTCCAAGTGGCTTGAATTCTCTGATACAGTGGACAGGTAGTCCGGGATAATGGGTACTGCACAGAACAATATTTTTCCAGCCCCCATCTCAGGGATTAGAACAAGAGTAATCCCTTTGGAGGAAGATTAATGCATTGCGCTCACCGACCACCGTAAGTAATACATTATCCAGGAAGAGGCTCAGGTACACCACGGTGACGAGCATCAGTCGAGCGTCCTTGAAATTCTCCAGTGTCATTGTATCGAGTTGATAGAGGTGATGCTGTTGGCATGGAGAAATCCTTGAAAATCTGGTGTTTTATAAAATCCCATTGAAACTGGAGATTTTCATGGTGCATCGACATCCTTTTATACCTTTCCTCGGAAGTTCGATGTGCGCAGGAGCATGGACTACCTCACAGGACACACCATCGGGGAAATATTTTTTAACGCATGGAGGATTGTGTGGGGAATTACTGACATCGAGTTTTTGCGAGTCACTGAGCTTTTCGATTTGTTTGATCGACTCTAGTCTTATCTCGGTCTCAACACCCGTTGACTCCGGGTTCATATGGCCTGGAAATTATTTTTCAATCGCTTGTTGATTATATCGCGCAAGTATTTATCAGGCAATGAGTCTCGCATTCCGATCGGGATTTTTCTATTCAAGAAATTTCTCGGGGGCTTATAGTCGCTCTTCTGTTCAAGGCTGTCCTTTTTTCATGGTTATATAAAAAAATTTATGAACCCCTAAAGAATTTTTCTGTTGATAATTTTAGGAAATTCTGAATATTTTCACGGGTTTTTTTGGGTATTTTTTTATTTTTTCAATGAATTGAAAATTGGAATTCGAGTTGATTCTACTGTTCAGTTGGAGGTGCGGGGAAATGAGACGATTCCAGAGACTGCACAAGTGTATCTAAATAGAATCTCGGTAACACCTGTGCTCCAATTGCTAAATTACGACTCTGAAATGCAATTCTCTCACTCCATGGAAAAAGCATGTGAAGGCAGGGTGAAACGGAAATTTTTATTTCTCCTTTCGAATTCGTTTCTCAATCAATCTTATTTACAATGAGATACAGAAGTGAATTACAGAAATATTTCTCAAGTGATTAGAAACGGGTGACTTTGGATGCCTCCTCGGTGTCCTCGTCCTCTTCATCAATTGTGGCTTCGGTCTGGTACAGCCGAGGGGTTGAACACCTCGAGGGATACGACTCATTAGGCCCTCGTTTTGGCGATAGCTTTTTACTGTCGAGGTACAGCTCGGCCTCCAGACAATCATCATCCAGTGAATTGTCTCTCATCCCCGGGTAATTTGGCTGTGCGTAGTCGGAATCACTACTTGTTGTACTCTTTATGCTTCCCCGGTTTTTTTTCCCATCCTGCAAATATTCTTTTCATCACGCACCAAATCACGAAGCATTCTCCAAATATTTTATACTATATTATTTTTATTTCTTGAATTATAAAATGACAAGGCAATTGATTTGAATCCTTCATTTTTGAAATTTTTAAAACGTAACGAATACTCACATTTGTTTGCACAACGCAAACTTTCGGCACGACATAATGATTTTCCGCTTCTCTTATCTCAGTGTGATATCCAAAATTATTGTATCCACTGCCTTTAACACTGACGCCAGTCGAGTTTCCTTCGGAATCCCGACGTCGACGATTGGGACTGGAGCTTCCGTAGAAGTTGGGATGTGCCCCCGGAACACCCGATGGATTTCTCATCCCCTCCATCGGCAAAACGTAATCGTAAAATGATTTTCTTGGCTTGATATAGAATCAAACAGAGAAGAAAAAGCCATATATGAACATTTCAATGTCTCACCTCGGTATGAAATGCATTACCTTGGCACTGGCCAACTCTCTACTTTAGTAAATCCCTAATTACGAGTCAAAGAAGCCCCAGGTACTTGAGTACGCGCATCGTTGGAGATTCCATTTGTACTGACATGCGATGAAGCATCTATCCCTCGTTTTGTACTGTTTTGTTATACTATTATTCGATTAAACGGAGGATTTACCTGGCGTATGGTGCGTCTCCGGGGCTCGAAGCGTAGATTTGCTCCATCGACGTGACCTTGAAAAGTCTTGTCGGGTTTTACGTGGGTTATCATGAAGTAGACTCGAGGTAGAAGAACACCGACAATAATACCATATGCCGTCAACACCAGGGCGAAGGTCACGACGATGTCTCGCCATCCATCATTTATGATTATGAAGATCAAGATCCAGATGCACCAGGTTGACAGCAAGCCGATGGCTGTCAAGGACAGACACTTGCCCTCTCGATAGTTTCGGGGTATTTTGTGGATGAGAGAACAAACTGCGAGGAGCATCAGAAGGAGAAGTATATCATAGCCTGTAGAAATAGAGGATCAATGTGGGTTAATGGATCTTTATTCTGCATATCCTGGATTCTGCAGATGCAAATTTACGCAGGCAAATGATAGAGTATATTTACTCAGCAATCCTATAAAGACAGGACTCTTCAAAGTCTCCTCAGAATTCCTGGGAGCAACGAGGAAATACATCGTAGACAATCCAATTTGTACTCCAAACACGAAAAGTAGCATGAGCCCCTGCAGATATCCATTGATGTGGCTGGTGTAGACCCCTCCGGTGGAGAAGGCGAGGAAAAAGGCCCTGGAGAGCATTACTGAAAATACAAAGCCCGTTGACAGTGTAGCAACGAATATCTTCCTCGAGTTCAACTCGTCATGACCCAGAGTTTTCTCCTCCAGGCAAAAAGGGGTGGTGGAGAAGAGAAGGAAGATATTACCCAGTATGAGGAAGATTGTTAGCGTGGGATTACCGTCCAGTGGATCCTTCAAAGAGAATTTATAAATAATATAAAGTCCCACTGCTAGTGATACAGCACTGCCGAACACAACGAAGACCATAACTACTGGCACCCAGTAGTCAGGTCTTATTTCAATTTTTCCCGGGGTGGATTCGACATCGGGGATTATCCCGGTGGTTGCTGGATTGTTTCCGAAGTTGAGACAACTTTCACAAGTTTTTTTATCCCAGCAAGACGTCACGTGAGGCTCTGATACATTAGAAATCACTTTCAACGTCTCCGCATCCACTTGATAGGACAAAATATCCACCAGATCCTCAACTTCTGCATCGATTCTTTCGGAAATTACGTAGTTTATCGTTCTGGAGTACTCGGGAGCCTTCAGGATATCGAATATGTGGTCTGTGGAAATTTTCTTCAAGAGTCTCGTGTCGAAGGGAGGAAACGCGCAAATACCGGAAGGACAGTTATTTCTCTGGATGTCTGATAATAACTCAGCTGTTGAAACCAGGGATTTTCCGATGCTCATCAGATGGGGTGAGTGAACCAGGATTTCATCGTTCTCTGGTATTAGGTAATCCTCGAGGTCGAGCGCGAGAGACTCCGACCTGATGATGTAAGAGCCAGTGGGCACGACATCTGCAATATTAAAATTGTCGGGGCGTATTAAATATTTTATAACAAATGAAAAAAAACAGAGGGAAATCGACGGCTTTAATTTTTCATTGGATTCATCATTTTTGTGGAGAAAAATTGTCAAAGAAATATTACCATCAGGCTCGGAGTCATCCATTGGAATAATGAGCCAAGTTTGTTTTTCCCTGTATTTTTCTAGCCATGACCTGATCGATCTTTCTTCACCAGCTGCGACAATTAGTCCATTATCCATATTATCGAGTTTCGTCAAATTATTAAAACTCTCGACACAAATGCTCGTCTCTCTGGTCTCATCAAGAATAATATTATGAACAAAATCATTGTGTGTCAAGAGTAGATCAATAGTCTCGAATTTGTGGGTGATGAAATTCATTGCTATATTCACTAATGGTTTTGAGATGTTGTCATTGAAATAAAAAGCCAGTGGAAGATCGGTGATGTCTTGGAGGGGCTGGAGGATGGAGATGTATGACTGAGGGGCCAGGACACCCAGGTTGTAATAATCATGGGTGCAATCCGGTTCTGATGCCAGCATCAGGCACATCCTCTGGACTGATCTAGGATCTTGACAGGTGTCTATCAACCGCAATCCTATCAATCAATTAGGGAAAATAAAAGTGTTGGTCTGTCATCAGGATAAAATCGCACGAATCTCAGTGGGATATTACCTAAGGTCATTCCGGGAATGTAATCTTCTCTGTTCAATGCCGTTGTTACATAAAGTGCTGTTGTCACTTCTTGGAAGCCCTTTGATAAAGATTCATTACAGTAGGGGCCAAATGTCGCATCTACGAACACTGGAACGGAAGAATTTATTGATTTTGAAGACTTACACGAACTTTCAGTACAAGAAATTGGAAAAATGGAGGAATAAATTTACAATCGTCATCTAATTAACTTCTTGCTATTGGGAAAAATGATGAGGGAGGAAGTGGGTGTTAACAGAAGAGAAAAATTGCAGTAAATCATATTTTTCCGTCACTCGAGAAATTTCACTCATCCCCGGGACATCAATCCTCGGATCCACTCATTCTCTTCCGTTAAGTACATTTCACTCTCGACTAAATCGAAAATCAATGAATCACCAGTTAATAAAGCGTCGCCAGGTGTTTGCAATATTGTCTGATTTCTGCAGATATTATCCTCGAACCCCGCAGCTTGAGAGATTAATAAGATTAACACCAATATCATTATCAATTAATTTCTCAATTAAAACCTCCACTTCTGACAAATGGAAGAAGTGTTTATTCTCTTTCTCAATAAATTCCAACGTGTCAACTCTGGAATAAAATAAACGAAATCAATCAATTGATTAAAACTAATGAATAATCCGTAGGGGATCAGGGGTGGCGATTACCTCATGAAAACCAGTAGTCATTCCCCAATTGATCGATGCGTCACATATTATTTTACTCGAGTCATTCGTTGGATTGATTTCACTGTCAGTAATGCAACGCATGTTTTGTTGAGTGGATTGTATCCAGCCAGTAAATTGGCCGGCTTGAGTAGACACTCGAGTGCACACAGAAAAACAAAACTTAATCAACTCAATATTAATTCGATTAAGCACAAGAGACGCAGCCAATCACTTGGAGAACCCCCCGGGGTGAATAGGGTTTTGCTGTACCTCCACAACAACTAAAACAAACTTTTTTACATCGGAATGGAGTTGGATAAAGTTCTAGAGGGCTGCATTATCAATACAGGTATGACTAGTTTGTGTTATGGCACATATTGCTGAAGCCACATAGCTGCCACCCTCAACCCTCCTTTCATAAATGAATTAAACGCTTTAGTATGGTACGTCCATACCCATTTTTTCACTCATCACGGTTAATTATTCAATGGTAGGCAGGTCATGAAAGGTTGGTGCGATCATTTCGTGGCATTCAGAAGAGTAAAATGTCTTCGCCCACGCATTGATTATCAGTAACTCGGGAATTATTGATTAAAATTGAAAAAGTTTCTGATAAATATAATTGACATTTACCAGAAGTTAAGTCCCTGAAGGATATGATTTCGATTCGAATTTTTCGAATTTCGAATTGATAAAGTTTTAATTTCAAGTGGATGGGGAAGGGAATCTCTAGATAATTATTAATGATAGAAATATCGAGAATTTTGTTATTTATATCAGGAATAATTATTATAGAGATGATTGCATATTGCTCTGTTGATGGATTCGAAATGGAGAACTTGAATGATTTCGATTGGAAGATTTCGAAAATTTCGAATCGATGTTGCCGAGGAGTTGTCAGAGTTGGGGGATTCCCCAGGAGGTGTCACTGTAGAGTTACCCACTGGGTAACAGGTGTTACCTCTGGATTTCTACATTTTTATTATCGATTTTTACCCAACGCCCACCCAGAGGCTGTTGACACATGCCAAAAATACAGAATACAATGTAATTATATTTCGAGTGTTGTCTGTGTTGGTGATGCGCGTAGATGGTCAAGTGCTCCGAGATGGTACTCCACCTGTCCTCGACGAAAAAGGAGAAAAAACGAGAGTGCTTTGAGTACCATGCTAACTGACAAGGGTAAAGGGGGAATGATTGCCGGCAGTGTGATTGTATTCTAATTCCAGTCATTCCAACGACGATAATCGACACGGGAAGTGCGTATAGACGTAATTGCTCGAGGTGATGGCTTCGCTCAGTGGATTCATCGAGTTCTTTCAGAAGGGAAAGGTGAATGTAATGAATTATCCTTGGTATTTTATCAATCAACCATTATCCAGGTTATCTCATTAATATTTTTCATTTCAGACATTCAGACCGAAGAAGAAGTTTACACATGGAACTCTCCGGTATTCTCTTTACAAACAGGCTCAGGCATCATTAAATTCGGGGATTAATCTTCGTGCTGCTGTTAAATTGCCACCCGGAGAGGATTTGAATGACTGGATAGCTGTGCATGGTGAGAAAAAATTTCAAGTTCATTCTTTTAATTTCATTCACCTCCACCAAGTCAACCTTCATGCTCTCTTGTGAATAATCCCAATTCTCATTTCCCAATTAATTATTACAGTTTACTCTAAATTATTTATTAAAGCGAATAAATGAATGGGTGAGTGAGAGAAATAAATAAATTGTATTTGAAAGAAATACCTCTTCGATTACGAGTGTTGGAAATCCTTTTTAGGAATTGAAATTGAGAAAAAAGTGAAAGCCTTGAATGGAAATGGAAATCTCGTGTTCATGGGGAATTATCATTTAGTTATAAATTGTGTTTTTTTTACAGTCGTAGATTTCTTCAATAGGATAAATCTGATTTATGGAACGATATCTGAATACTGCGATTCTGCTTCATGTCCTACGATGAGTGGAGGTGCGAGATTTGAATATTTGTGGGCCGATGGTGAGAAATATAAAAAACCCACTGCTCTTCCGGCTCCACAGTATGTGAGCCTCTTGATGGATTGGATTGAAACGCAAATCAATAACGAAAATGTCTTTCCGGTTTCCACGGATATTCCGTTTCCAAAGACTTTTATCGGCCTGTGTAAGAAAATTCTAACTCGATTGTTTCGAGTATTTGTTCATGTTTATATTCATCACTTCGATAGGATCGTTGCGATTGGTGCGGTAAGTACATGCTATATAATATCGCTACATATTCTCAGAGAATCACAGCAGAATTCTAACGAGGAAAAATTATCTGGAATAATACCCCTATTGAATTTGCTATCTGCAGGAAGCCCACGTGAATACGTGCTACAAACACTTCTACTACTTTGTGACTGAGTTTGAATTGATAAATGTGAAGGAACTCGAGCCACTATCTGAAATGACCTCCAAAGTGTGCAAAGATACGACAGCAACTCCAAGCACACCCTCCAATAGTCAATCGAGATAGTCAACGTAGAATAAAATAGATGATTTAATGATTTCAATTAATGAAATCGCTTGACACATTCAAATATCAAGATTTCCACTTTTTTTACGTTTTTTTCATCAACTCTGCACATCACATTTACTTAATTCATCTAGTCATTTACACCAAGACAATTATCCATTATTTGTGCTCGTCAATGATAATTAAAAAGAACTAAAAAATAAAAACGACGAATTGTATATTTTTCATTAAAGTTTTTTCGTATTAACGAAGTAAAGTGAGTTCTTCAGGTAATTACATAATATTTTTACAGTTGCTGTTTCACATGATAAATAATGGGGGGAGATTTTTGTGGAACTCGTGACTATTACGAGACGATTATCCCCTGTTCTTTCATTCGTGGAAAGAATTTACAATGAGTTTACACTTCACTATCGAATAAGTTTCGTGTCCATGTCAGATCGTGGGGATTTGACGACACGATTTCACCATGATTTTAGTTTTTTTTTATTCGCTAAATTTTTGGGGTGGACTTAAATTCGGGTCCAGTACTGCTGAGATCTGATGATGTTGTAATCTGTTAGGTTCTCTACTGGACCGACTGCGGCGACGACTGGGCAGTGGTCATAGATGTACTTCATTCCAACTTCTTGAACTGTTTTAGCATTCACACTCTGAAAATGTAAACCGAGAAACAATATAATAAGATCATTAGAAAAAAAAAATTTCAATATATAATTTGCCATTGCACTCACGTCTATTCTGGCCTCAAGTTCATGAAGAGGAATTCTTCGATCATAACACAGCATTTGTCTCCCAATGTCCTCGCAGACGGCAGTGGTGCCATCGAGCTGCAGCAGCATGTTGGTCTTGAGGATGTTCTTCGCCCGGTTGACCTCCTTCTCCGTGACACTAGAGCAGAGTTTCATCCACTCCTGCTGGATGTTCCAAACCATGTCCTCACACTGCATAGGATCACAGACGAAGTAAACCCCCCAGAGTCCAGTGTCCTTGTAGCAGGTGTTGAAGCTCTGGTAGCTGTGGCAGAGTCCGTCCTCAGCAGATGCCCGCGCAAGATTGGTGGCATTATTTACACCACCACCCTGACTGCGATCCCAGGCTCCCATCAGTGTATTGGCCACCATCAAAGGGATGTTGTCAGCACTGGTCCATCCAGCACCCTCAACGGCCAGGGCGATGTGGGCCAAAGGGATCGAGTCATCACGAACTCGAATCTCCGAGCCTGTGTAACGGCATGGCACCAGAGTCGGTGGAATTTCATCGTAGTGGGGCCCCTTCATCTTGCCAAAGTGCTTGTCAGCGAGATCCACCAATTGGGCGTGATCAACACCACCAGCACCAGCCAGCACAAACCTTGGAGGTCCATAGTGGGTCCTCACGTAGTTCACAAGGTCGTTCCTGGTGATGGACTTGATGTTCTCAGTGGGCCCGAGGATCGTTCGACCCAGGGGAGTGCCTTGGTATGCCACTGCGTGCAAATGATCAAACACCACCTCCTGCAAGTTCGTCTCAACCTCTTGCATCTCTCGGAGAATTACACCTCTCTCACGCTCGATCTCACTCTCCCCCAGCTTCGAATTCTGAATTATATCGCTGAGTATCTCAATGGCCTTGGGCACATCCTGAGAGAGACATTTCGCATAGAAAACAGTTTGCTCTCGACTCGTGTAGGCATTAAGATGGGCCCCCATATTCTCGATCTCAAGCTCCAGGTCGGTTTGCGATCGCTTTGCTGTCCCCTGAAATTTCAATTATAATTCCACTAATCGTTATTCACTCAGAAGGAAGTCTGAATTGCCGATGAGACCTGGTAGGAGTTTCATGTGGTACTTTACCTTGAAGGCCATGTGCTCCATGAAATGAGCAACTCCATTGGTCTTGTCAGTCTCACATCGGCTTCCTGCGTCGATCCATAGCCCAACAGTTGCTGTTGGGGCACCAGTATCTTCACTAGCTACTCTCATCCCACTGTTCATCATTGTTGTCTTTGTAGGTGGTTGATTGATCAGAACCTCCTTCAAGGAGGCAGCTGTCGACTGCCATTGCTTGCGGCTCTAATTCACACATCACAGGTTAAACATTTTTTCAATTTCAATTATCCTGCTGACAAAATACAGGGGATGGTACGGTGGCATTACGTAAGAGGAGGAATTCATGTGAATGAAAGGGGTAAATTCGTGGAGAGTGGAGGAAAGTAGGTTAGAAGGAGTTCATCATTTACTGGGAATTGAAAAATTACCTTGACAAGACTTGTTTTCTCAGAATGTGTCCGCAACGCGGTTCCGAGCCTGAGGAGACGTGTCGCCATTTTTATAGACAGGGCGATGAAACTTCTCGGATCCTCCGATATGTCTAACTCCAAGAGAATCGACACCCAATGACCTCTGCAGGATTTTTGGTTTTAAAATTCTATCAATAATACAGAACACATTGAGAAATTACTTTTTTATATAATTTCGTAATTTTTTTCCTCAATCTGTAGAATTACGCAACGTCATTGCATGATTTGTAGTTTTAGTAATAATACCATTACTCACTTATTTCATATTTCGAATGGGAACAGTAGAATGCAATATCTTTGATTCTTGGTGATTGAGAATTTTTCTCTCTTTACATTGACAGTGGAAAATCACTTTAGAAAAAATTGTCCATTTGAAATGTAATGATTCCCTCGGAAACCACTGACAAATTCCGAGACCAATCCAGCCCCATGTACAGAGAAAGCTATTTGTCCATTTGACAAATGACCGTGACACAGAATTCTCAATAATTCTTGGAATGCTGATACTTAGCAGTGAGATCTGATTGTGATACAGATACGCCACTTTCAAATAGCCATAAGGAAATGATCTCCACGACGGTCTGAATTAATTACTTGCAATGATCTCTCATTGACATTTAGAAATGTCATTGCGGAGGGCAATTAGCCTTTTGCTACAAATAGGTAACCCGATGATAACAACGAGCTTAAGCAACATAATTACTCATAAACATTGGAAGTTTGCAGTTGACTCGTAGATGAAGCAAATGAATCAGAAGCACGTCGTGGTGTTTCACAATAACAAGGCTGAGGAAACCCCGGCTTCCCTTCACTTTTTAAAAAAGGTGTGGTGTCAGTTGATTGTCAGTGGGAGTGCAGATAACAACGACTAAATAACATGTAAGTAAATTTCAAGTTATCTTCCTTGTAACGAACCGTCTAAACCTACAGAGGTAGTATATTAAATTAAAATCGCCCAAAAAATCGGGAGAATAATTGAAATTCAAAACGTATTTGATAATAATTTTAATGATAATAATAATAACGATAATTAATCGTTTGGGAATAATTTTTTGTGTTGGAATATCAACACGTAATCCATTTTAATAGATAACTCACATACGAATTGACTCTCCGACGAAGACTCTTTCACTCGTCTTATCTTTCTATCAGCAGATTTCAATTACGTGCATGTCTCCTCATAAGTTCTGTTCAACCTTGATTCATCTATTCTGAACAACAGTGGACACGATGGGTGCCAGAAACTGCAAATCTTATTCTGTGAAGGGAAGAGGATCGAAAAAAGTTGCAGTCGAAGACAATCAAGGTGAGGACTTCAATATTTCACTGAAAATCTGTCAAAAATTCCAAAATTTGAATCCATTCACTCCATTTATTTAATTGAAAATAGTACAGCGCAATCTCAAGAGATTGCGCATGTATTTCATTCTGAAAACATTAGTCGTTGTCAAAACAATAAATTGAAAAACATGGGAGGTATGAAATCATTGATATCTGTCTTTTTTTTCAATTTTCAAATGATGATTCTTGATTCTTCCATAGAATTTCATTAAAATATTTATTTTTCTAGACAAGAAAAATGAATCCGAGTACGTCGAGGGTATAGTCTGCAAGGAGAGCGAAATCTCTGAAAACGAGATGAAGGTGCTTCCCTTGGGTGACGAAGGTGGCAAGATACTTTTGATAAAGCAAAAGGGAGAGATCCACGCAATTGGCAGCAAGTGCACTCACTATGGAGCCCTTCTGAGCACTGGAGTACTTGGAGATGGCCGAGTGCGATGTCCTTGGCATGGTGCTTGCTTTAACATCAAAACTGGTGACATAGAGGATTATCCTGGCATGGACTGTCTTCCCTCCTACAAGGTAAGCGTCACAAATGGCGATATCAAGGTTCAGGCCAAGAGAACGGATCTCAAAGACAACCGACGAGTCAAGGAATTCACTGGTCAACTCGATTGTGAAAAAACAGCTGTCATTGTTGGAGGTGGACCGAGTGCCGCCACCTGTGCAGGGACCCTCCGAGAGGAGGGCTTCCTCGGTCGAATTGTCATGATCGCCAAGGAACCATTGCTTCCTTATGACAGGGTCAAAGCTTCTAAGGACCTAGAGTACGATGTTGAGAAATCTCTTTTGAGGTATTCATTTGTTCTCTTATTTATGCAAATAAAAAAACTTAATATGAATTCAATTATGAACGTTTTTTTGTGTTTCAGATCCCAGAGTTATTACGACGAGAGACAAATCGAGACGAAATTATCCACTGAGGCAGTGAGTCTGGATACAACTGCCAAGACAGTTCAATTGAGTAATGGGGAGACCCTCAGGTACGACTACGTTTTTATAGCAACTGGTAGCAAACCGAGGAGACCTGATGTGCCTGGATCAGACCTGAGGAATATTTTTGTGCTGAGGGATCAGGCGGACGCAACAGCAATTGTCAAGCAGCTTTCACCGGAGAAGAATCTTGTCGTCCTAGGGCTGAGTTTCATTGCATTGGAGACTGCTGCCTATTGTTCCAACAAAGTTGCATCAGTGACAATCGTGGGGAGGGGAAGGACTCCCCTCAAACCCGTTTTCGGGGAGGCTATTGGAAACAGGGTGAGAGAGGAGTTCGAGAGCAAGGGGATCAGATTCAAGGTGGAGACAAATATACAGAAATTCATTGGACGTGAAGATGGAACTGTGCACCAGGTCGAGCTGGCCACTGGAGAGGTTCTCTCAGCTGATGTCGTCATTGTTGGAATTGGCTCCACACTGTACACTGACTGGATGAAGGGCTCTGTCGATATGAGAGACGATGGATCTGTCGTGGTGAATAAACATCTTGAGACCAGTGCCAAGGGAGTCTATGCCGGTGGCGATATCGCTTATGCTCCAGTTTTTATTGCTAATGATGAATCCTCCACTATTTCGCATTACCAACTGGCCCAGTATCATGGAAGAATTGCTGCTTTAAATATTTGTGGGAAGAATACTGCGCTCAGGACTGTTCCTTATTTCTGGACTATGTTATTTGGCAAGGGCTTTCGTTATTCAGGTAATTTCTATAAATACACGAGAAATAAAGTCCGACAACTGTAAAATGTAAGGTAATTACGGAAAATTTTCCACAGGTTTTGGATCTGCAAGTAGTGTGAGCATTTATGGGTCTTTGGAGGAGTTGAAGTTTTTCGCTTATTACTATAAAAACGGAAAAGTCATAGCTATGAGCAGCGTGAGGATGGACCCGATAGTATCAGAATTCGCTGAGTACTTGAGCGAGGGAAAAACTCTGACTCAAGAAGAGGTGGAGGCAGATCCTACAGGATGGATGAAGAATAAACCTGTGGATGCTTTGAAGGCCTTGCCCGAGAAGTTTTCATCGTAAGATCGAGTTGAAAATAGTTAAACGCAACCATTTATTTTCCCCACTGCACAATGTGGTGAGAACCCCTCTCAAGAGGAATATCCAAGGTTTAATTGATCGTTTAAAGGGACCACAATGTATTATCATCGCAATACGCCAACATTCACTAAAATTTTATTTTTCTCGTAACAAAATATTACAGATCGATGTGGAGGTGCGAGCATCAACAGAAACGGGTCTATCATACTTTAACCATAAGCCATCGTAAAATTAACAGCTGTCAACTGAGTAATTACACGATGAAAATGTCGAGATTATTAATCAAATGCTCGCGGAGGCTACTCCGTCCTTAATTATTTCAGTGTGAAGATAATTTATTAATGTAAACAAGTGGTAAAACGTTTCTCTGAATGGAAGGAAAATTCACGTGTTCTAGTATCATTTTGCCATTTGAGTACTGATTTTCTATTGTTAGTGGCTTCAGAGATTAATAAATTACAGAGTAATGAGCACATATTGTTTAATAAAGGTATGATCCAATTATTTTTTTATTCATTCACCTTGATTTTATACTATTCCCAACAGTCAGTAGTCCTTAAGTGAACCAACTGATCTTGCCAAGTAAAATGTTTATTAAATCTCTCGTTCCTCGCATTTTGATTGATCGTTACGAAATCGGGCCTGACCTTTATCTCTTTCATGTGCCCTTCTGATTGCTCTTTGGTGAGATATGGGTGACGAAGGAATAACATGTTGCGCTCTTCTTGCTCGAAGTCATGACGAAGTTTTAACAGATCATAGTAGGCAGGATCCTTAACTTTTCGATGTTTTCTGCAATAGAAAACCATAATTACAGCCTCTCAAGGTATTCCAGTAGATATTTATTATAAATATCGACTCCAGAATGTGCTATCCCTAATGAATTCAAAGATATTCCCGATTTAAACTCGAATTTGAGTTCCAAAAATGTATAGATATCAATATTGAAAACATTGTTATTGAATAATCAGAAAAGCCTCAAAACAGGTTAGAGTATATGCTCACCCTCTCCACACGTGCCCTGGAGGAGGCTTTTTTTTCCAATGCAGCAAAAAAGCTGTTAACCTCATGGTTAATTACTCCCAACTAGTTATTAAGCACTGACAATACTTATTTCTTCTACAATTCGTCAATCCTGCAGAACTAAACCAGAGACGGTACCCGTGAATAAGGCCCCTGCCTTATTGGCTAATCCTCTTTGATTGAAGTGTCCAGTCAAAGAGGATTGACTAAAGTAGAGGCTCAGTTCGGGGGGTTTGAGTGACCCCAGAGACATCGTAGTAGTCAACCCCATAAGAGGGAGGGCGCCACACCCAACGCTGGGGTATCTGCTCGTTAGCCGACTCAGCGACTCTTCAGTAGCTGAATAATTGATAACCTAAAAAATTCATGGATATTCATTCCTCATGTAATTAACAAATGTCAAAAAAAAA